TCTGACTTTATGAATAAAAGCAAAAGAAACTGAGGTTTTGCTAGTGGAAACTGATCCATAAAAACCTGTCATCAGTAAGGGACTTCCCTTTTTATGAAACTGATAGTTAGGCAAACCTGTTCCACAAAAACCCGTCATTAGACTTTCCTATTTATGAAATTGATGCTTAGGTAAAGCTGAGAGCAAAAAAGTTCCACGAAGTGGGCAAAAATAGGTAGAATGGATGCCTAAGGGTGAAGTCGGCCTTTGCTGCTGTGAGATTTTGAAGAAAAAAAAAACAAAGGTATAACTGTTGTGCAAAGTTGCAGGCTGCGAAAGGCAACACTGTGGAATCGTCTGCAGTTCTTGTGTAATCCAATCAGACTTATTTGCCTTCAGCTTCAATTAAGCATAAACCTCATAAATGCGGGAACCGCTTACTAGAGACGAGCTTTTGTAAGACAATTCCTACTCGCATAAGCTCAGGTTTTGTTTGCTTTTGCTTTCGGTTACACGCTCTAATTCTTTGATTTGGCTTTTTTCCTTTTATTCACAAAATCAGGTTTGTTTTAATTTACTTTTCTTTGTAGTGCCATGTCGGTTTATTTTCCTCTTTACTGCTATCTGCAGTTCTTGCTTCGAACTCCTAACTAGCACCCTTCTTCCCCTCCTGTATCCTGTCCCCAATCCCTGCCTCTAGAGCGCACCGGGGCACCCACAACCTCCAACCGCTGCCACCGTTTATCGTCCTAAACTCCTAACCAGCAACTTCATTCCTTCTCACTATCTTGGCCTCATTCGCGCCCTCTGAGCTGTATCTGGGCAACTACCAACCAAAACCCTTCAACCACGTCCAATCCTCCCACTCATCACTCCCGGCCACGCGATCCAATCGTCAGACACTGGCAGCGCTACTCAGCGCGTCTGGCAAAATACCAAACTGTTCCAGCGAGCACGCCGCGAAATAGTGTTGGCAGAGATGTTAGAGCACTTTCCAAACACCGTCGACCATCAGCCGAGCCGAGCCGAGTTATTGTAATTGTCTGGTTACAGCGAAAAGCAAATTATTTATTGATGATAACCTGGCTCTACAAAGGTATGTGGCGGCGATGCGCTTGATTTGCACTTAAAGTAGGAAAGGACGAAGTCGATTACATCTTGGTCGATGCTTAGCGCACTTTCAAGGATGCTTCCGATTAATCCTCATTCAGTACAGGACGCGAAGACTGCATGTTGCGGGAGAAAATGCATATTATCCCGCATTGTGAAAGAAGAACGCTGCAAGCGACAAGTCAAAGTAACAGGCCGAGAAAATCGCTATTAAGAGAACTGGTAAGTCAGGAATGGGCTTTGGCAGCTAATAATTATCATCACTGCAAGTGCCTCACTTATAAACATTTTGGGTGCACAAAACGAGCCGAGTGCACCTGACTTCGACGATTGAATTCAAGGGTCTTCGTGGCTGTGGAGTGCTGTTAGAGAAGGAATCAAACACGACATATCCCTGCAAGTACATTAGACGGAGGCCGAAGGAGGACTTCATCCTAGGCTAGAACGCACCAGGCAGGCCAGTGCGATCATGACTTTTTTCACTTTTCATGCCGTAGTAAGATCTCAAGGAATTGCAGTAGCTAGCCCTGTGACATACTGGCCCTCGAAGTTCGGGAAGTAAATTGTGCAGCTATGTGGCATGCCAGTTGTAGATGTCGTCAGTGATCCGACAAAGAGAAAGTTGTTGGCCCGCGAAAAAGGACCTACTAAAAGTCTATTAAATTTAAAATCTTTTAATCGCACATGAGCAGAGGACATTCCCTTAAAATTAAAGCTTTCCAGCTTTTCTCTTCCCCGAGTTGGCAATTCTTCCGTAAAAATTTTCACGCGCCTGTACGTGAATCCCGAACGGTTCTGAAGAGCTGAATTTGAAATCTTTTGGTCGTACATGAATGGGGAGCAGCCCCCTAAAGTTTCAGCTTTTTGGCTTTCTCCGTTCCCGGGTTAGTGATTTTCCCGCCAAAATTTCCACGTGCTCATACGTCGGTCCCAGGCGCCTCTAAACAGCTGATTTTGGTCGTACATGGGCGAGGAACATTAACCTAAAGTTTCAGCCTTCTACCTTTTCCCGTTCCCGAGTTAGCAATTTTCCCGCCAAACTTTCACGTGCTCGTACGCGGGGCCTAGACGTGCATGAAGGTTGATACCACGGTCCTGGGGTGGCACTTGGCTGAGGAACAAACCAGCAAAATTTCAGCTTCAAAGCTTGCGTGGTTGGCGAGTTGAAATACCCGAATACACACACACACTCTGACAGGGTAGTTGCAATATGCGTTTTTGCTGCCTGTTGCAACGCTCTAGCGCTGCACGGCAAAAACGCATAAAAACTGCAATCGCCTACGGAAAACAGAGACCTTCCAAAACGGGCAGAGCCTGAAGAAGTGCAGGAGAGAACTGTTGCTTTGCCATCCTACAATGGTAGGGCTGATGAATAAAAACAGACATCGGTTAATGTACCGAACAGACGTGGAGAACATATCTAGAAAATTCCGTGCAAGTCTTCCAGCATTCCAGCATCTGCAGTTAGAACCACAAACCAGCAAATTCTTCCTATAGTTAACAGCGAGGTAAAATAAACACTTCTCCTAACGAAAAACAAAAAAAAAATAATCCGGCAATAACGATATTAATATCGAACTCATCAGATGCGGAAGGAACTAACTTTGCAAGGCCTTCTGCCACTCGGTTCAATCGTTACTTGGCAGAAAGGCTAGCAGCTGGAAAGGATCGAAAAATGTTTTGGTGCACAAAAAGGATAATAAGGAAGATGTGAAGCATTACTGCTCGATATGCTTACTTTCTCATATTCACAAGCAATTCACTACAATTACCACTAAGCAGCCGGCTATAAAGTCGTCTCAATCAACAGCAGCCGATAGAACAAGCCGGGTCCAGAAGTAATTACAACATGGTGGGTCACATTTTCACTATTAACCAGCTGTTTGAACACACAGGAGGGTGCCAACTTCCCCTTTGTTGCCCACTTTCTAATTACGAAGAAGTATTCGATAGTGTAGGGCTAAATGGTGTGCTACGAACTGTTGTAGGTAGAAGAACTGGAGAAAGCTATGGCCAAATTGTTAAGAAAGCTTTTCACAGCCTGCTTTGAGGTGACATTTCGGAAATTGGACTGGAAAAATGCTCTTTTGCAAAATAAACGAAGTGCTGCGGCAGCTGAGTCTGAAAAGCAGTGCATCAAAAACGAAAGTGATGCAAAGTGCCGATATGCCCGCAGCAAGATTACAAATAGACGGTGTGAATTTGGAAGAAGTTAACAACTCGCTGTAGGTGAATAATGTGCCACAATCACCAGCTAGAGGCAAGTCGAAAGGCTGTTGGCTGGCGCAATTTCTACATCACCGACGTGCTCAAACTTTCGGACTAGAAGGCCGTGCCTACCTACCTCCTCAATGCCGACGTGTTGAAGGCACATTGATATACAGAGGCAAAGCATGGTCACTTACGAAAGCTAAACAGCAAGCACTGGCTGTGACAGAGAGAGCGATGGTGAAGAAGGGTGATTCGGATGTCTCTCCGCGACCATATAAATAATCAGATTCCCATGAGATGAGCGGCGCTTATTATTGCTGCCACGCGAGAAAGCGAAATCCGTTTAGAAAGGACAAGTTGCTTTTCTTGCTGACAATGGGTGGACGTCGCCCATTAGCGAGTGACAACCACGAAAAGGTAAACGATTACTCGGGTAACTTCTGACAGAACGGCACACAATACATCGAACAAACGGTTGGTACTAACTAAAGGGTCGGAGCCCAAGACCGAAGGGTGTATCGCGTTTGTGAACAGCGTGTGGTAGTATCACAGTAACATCACTAACGTGGGATGCCCACACTGATAGCTTGGATGGTATTGTTATTCATGTATATATATATATATATATAACTATATGTATATAACTTCATGCCAGTTATATATATAACCATATTTATATAACTTCATACCAGTTATATATATATAACTATATATATATAACTGGTACATAGAAATACATAAAATAGTGCAGCTTTTTTAGTCTGACGTTAGTAATAGTGTCAGGAATACAACTTTTCCACAATGAATTACCAAAAAAATCTGTAAGACAAATTGTGTGTTTAGATAGTTATCCTGCTCGTTTTGCTGATTTCAACATGGATCCCGAGTACATTGGCATGCAGAAGCGGTGCCGTAGAGCGTCATGTCCCGGAGCTGGTATTTCTTCCAGTGGTTTTAAACAGCGGCTCCCTATTATCCTTTTGTTTTATTGTGTTTGGATTTCTACCTTTGACACATATTGCCGCTACTGCGCTTTGTATTATTAAACTGGTGAGTGTCAGTACCTTTATAACTAGCTGTAAAGACTGATTTTTGATGTATTTACGATATCTATGAAATCTAACGAGAGCGCTTGGTCATATCTTGATATGATCATATCTTGATATGATTTCGTATATCTCTGCACTTGGCCCCTACTACCATGACTTGGAAGCCACGACGCAAGTGATACGGTTATTCGCAAATAAGGCTCCTCACAAATATTTTTTTTTAAATCGGTGCTCGACTCTAATCTGCAATTCAAATCTAAATTTGAAGAGGGCATAATCAAGCTCAAACTTCCTTCGCTTCTTAATAGAAATAAATGCAATGTGTAAAGTAACCATGTCCTTGTACCAAAGCAATCATTACATTATAACTCTTGATGGTTCCCTGTGCCGGTGGTAAGCTTTCCTATCACGCTCGTGGTAGGTTCGTGGCCGTCATTTTATGGCCACGATGAATGAAAATTACGAAGGGGACTAGTGATGTCTTTTGGCTGGGCACATTTTACCTGGACTAAACTCTGAAAGTGGTGCTGGATCTTACGCTGCCGTGATGGTACAAATAATTCTAGCCTAAATCCTTAGCTATGTTTTGATCTAGATAGGCATGAATTTGCAGATTAGTGATGCGCCCCCACAGATAAAGCCGATGCAAGTGTCTGTGATGTACTGTGTCACCATCGTATTTGCTGCTCTTTATTTCTTATCCGCTTATTCCATCAGCAGTGCCGTAGCACTGTTCGATGAATCGATTCATTTGGAGTGTACTGTTAAGACATCACACTGGATGGTGAGCTGTTTTTGTATTTCGAAAAACTGTGATCTTTCCAGGATACATTAGTAAACGGTTCTGAAAATTTTGGTAATGAATTGGTCACTTCCAAAAATTCCCAGTTTTTTGCGAATATTATTTTAGTTTAATAAGAAAAAGTAAAACCAAAGCTATGTTTGATTGGTTGTTTGATCTTGTGAGTCAAAAGCTTGCTATAGTTAAACCATGCCTGCATTTATACTGGTCTATGAGACTGATTCAATTCGGAGACTATGAAAGCCGCATTTGGACCATTATCTTACCACTATTCTCTCTTCTCGTTCATACACCTGCCTTCACTGTGAAATTGCAGAACCAGATTTTGCACCCAACAAATCATTTAGGGTTGTGAAACTATGTTCTACGAATCGATGTTTATCAGAATAGCTCTGTGAATTCACTGATTGCCAGAGTTCGCCTGGGGCTATCAAAAATAAACAGAGAATGAGTGCTGGCCTACCAACAGTATATTTTTGCAGGGATGAGTCGAACGTGGAAAAAAGTATCAAAACAAAAGCATTTTTAAACTGCGCACCAGTCCATTGCAGTATGCCAAATCCAGCCTGGCCCAGCTCTTTCTCCCTCAGTGATGCGGCTGACGGAGAGGAAGGAATGCTTCTGCGTAGTCAGCATTTTCATTAACAGTAAAAATTCTAAAAGATTATAATATTCTTGCTATCATAATCTCTAGCAGTTTATCGTGCTGTTTATGCTGGGATGTATAGTTACCGAAATGGGTGCAATGCATAAAGGTAGTGTCGTCATCGAACTAAAGGAGGGTACCACTGCTGATTTTTTTCCATTCATTTTATTTAATGTGTAAATTACCACCATCGCTCGGTGTGAAGGACCGATGTCGCAGTGCTACCGGGACGCAAATGCATGCCGGCTGTAGCTTTGCAGGGTTCTTTCCTCCTGAACTACTTACTTCTGTTAACTGCACATTTGCCTATTCCCTCGGAAATTATCCAAGCGGGTGCTTTTCAGCAATATGCAACATCTGCCGGATTTCAGCAAGGCGACAGTAAATAATTTAACGTTTTAGCCCACCTTTTGACCTTTTTATTGAATTCTCTGATGTAAAAACGCTCAGCGGGCTTCAAAATAATATAAGACAGTCAATAATATATTTATCTCCTGAGGTGTGCTGACGCTGATACTGTCGATTACTCTCCAAGCATTTAATAATGTTATATTCAGCAATCAAATCGTAAGCATCAAATTTGATTACTAAACCATCTGCGACAGAATAAAAGCGAAGAAACTAGTACTTTAAATATGTGAAGTACTGCAGATGTTTGTTGAAGAAAATTCATTTATCAAAGAATATGTTTGCTCGCCAATTATCTTCAAATCTTTGAAGATTTACCAATTAGCCTCAAGTGAATCAAACTTAAAAATCATTTCCATTCTTCTTCCTGTTGTAGGAACAGAGTTAGCCCGTACGTGAAATGAGTAATACTGCATCCACACTAGTACTTGCGAAGCTGTGGGTAGTTTCCTGTGGTAGGTTACTTACAAAGCAAAGCTGAGGCAGTTGAACACGTGGAGACAATCAAAAATAAATAGCGGCGCGCACTAGGGTAGCCGGTACGATCATACGTTTTGTAGAGCTCCCTCCAGCGGACGTTTGTCTGCTAAGGATTTTCACTGGTTTACATTTTCGTGTGTGAAAAAATAGTCGATATGCTGTCTAGCTCCTAAGTTGACGAACTTCCCACCAAAAATTTGAAGTGCCTGTATATAAAAAAAGAATTTGAAACCTTGCGTGGGGAACATCCTTCCAAATTTCAATTTCCCAGTTTTCTGGCGTCCGAACTCGTGGCTTTCGCATTAAAATTTTCACGTAGTCGTACGTAAGACCCTGGCATAGTTGGGGGCTAAATCTGAGTTTGTGAGTTGCCTGCACAGGCAGGAAACATCCTCCTGAAATTTCCGCCTCACACCTCCTGGTTCTTGGAATAATAATTTCCCCCGCCAAAACTTTCACGAAACCATAGATGTTACCCGCGGATGCAGGGGGGCTGAATTTAAGTTTTCTGAGTCACACGTGGGCACGGGACATACTAATAAAATTTCAGCTTCATAACTTTCGTGGTTCTTGAGATAATAATTTTCCCTGCCAAAATTTTTATGTGGCCATGCTTGTTACCCGCGGATACAGGGAGGCTGAATTTAAATTTGCGGGGTCGCAAATGGGAATGGAACAATACACCAAAATTTCGGCCGCCTATTTTTTGTGGTTCTCAAGCTGAAAGTGAGGGACAATACGTACTCGGACAAACACACACACATACACACACACAGGCAAACCCATGACAGTGTGTGTTTTGTGCCGCTGTTGCACAGCGCAAAACGCATAAAAATTATCATCAAACCGAAACTGTGAAGGACTAGTTTCCCTTACCGTTGCGTTTTAATGAAATATTTTTCGAAATATCGGTGCAGAACGCTGCATCACCGTGCCGTTTTTTCCATTACACTGTAAACAAAACCTTGTAAAATTTAGAAAGCTGACTGAGAAGCGTATTTAGGGCTCAAGTAAACAGTTTTATACGCGAAGGTTTCACACTTGGATAGCCAAATTTTCTATGATTCCTTCGATGTATTGACGCTTCTAGTATTACGCTTGCAGTGTATACTCAAAAAACAGTCTGCGAAAACCAAGCAGGCATGCATCAACTACTGCTGCTGCTGCACTGTTGTTCGTATCACATAAGAAATAATCTTCTTTTTCTCCCAACGAATATAATATGGATAAAATTTTCAAAATTTGTACTGCTTATCAAACCAGCCAATTAATTCAGGTGGCGGTAATTGCCGCGTATTTGATGGGTACACTGTGCACGTTCACTACAGCAGTGCTGGTTTATTTTCGAATTATCGGAGCACGTCGCCAAAGTGAAGAATTTTTAACGGCTGCAACTGTTACTGAGCTCACCGATTCCAGGGATAAGTTGGCTAGCTTATCAGTGAGCACTGCACATTCCATACCACGTCAGCCCAGCAGTGGCACTCTCAGAATCTTCCCACAGGTCAGTTCTGATACATTTCAACGACGCAAACTCACAGGGAGCTTACTCATAATTCATGACTCAGCTAGGGTTGTTAAAAGCAGAAAGCATGCATCGGGACAGTTTCCTCGAATGTCATCATACTGGTAAAAACATTTTTATTATCAAAAGGTTAACAGTAAAAAGATATCACGCAGATGTCGACGTGGAGTCCTCCACTACATGCAACAACACGCCAAGTGTAGCAACCTGACACCTTTTGTTTGATTACCGACTGTTGTCTACCTTTTTCATTGCATGGTACCACTTTGTCGAAGTAGTCACATTCAGTCTTGCAGATTCATTCGGTAGATACAAAATGTACGAGCAGTAGAGAGGGAGCAGAAATCGTAGCTGCGCATACAAAAATGTATGTTTTGTGTGAGTGCGTAAACGTGTGTGCATTTTTCTGCTTTTCTGCCCATCTGTCTATGGACAGTGCGATCGGTATGGAAGAACTAGGAAAGCTGAGGAACTGAAATTTTAGCACTGCGGTTCTCAATTTGTTCAAGATTATAGATTTTTGCGCATTGTTTCTGCCCTATCCTTTTGGCTAGGATCGAACAAAGCCAGAGTCAATTGACGGGCTTGATTTATTACCTGACGCAAGTTGAGTAATCTAAAAGCAGCTAAAAGGCTTGCCTCTGTGTTCCTAGACTCAGTTTTCGGTTATGCCTTTTTTTACCAGAAGTTACTTGACAGCCTCTGCAAGGATTGTCGTCTTTTCTCATCTGCATTTTACTGAGCAGTGCCACGTAATATCCGCACGCTGTTTCTTCCATTAGCTTCTTGCGTTTAAATTTTACCATGAAATACTTTCTATGGCTGTATACGAAGATTTATTGAAAAACAAAGATATGAATCCAAAAAGGTCAAAATTAGTCATGCTGGCAGATAATTTTCATTAACTGTGAGAATTCGAATGCTAGCTGGGAGGAGCAAAATTATCCGGAAGTAAACTGCAGATTACTTCTTGTTTGCGACGAACCGGACCCAACCCACGTTTCTCCTTTGCGCGTCTGTGCTGAGTCTTACTAGGCTATCATCTTTTCAAGTAACACTGAGTTCCCTAGTTCGACGTATTTCTTATCCGCCAATGATGCCGCTGGAAGTCCTTCCGATTATCCAACAATTCATCATTTAATAGTAACCAGTGCAGGTGGATATCAGGAACTATTTGCGATACTTCGAAATGCAAAAGCTACCGCCATTTCCACTGCGAAAAGATGTTTGAGTTAACTTCCTCGAGAAACGTACTTGGAAAATAGAGAATTCTGAAGTTATAAGTTGACTGGCGGTCGGAATAGAGAGGGAAATGATGAAATATTAGGTCGTCGGAAGATCTGGAGAACTATCAAATATGTGAAAGCCTTATCTTCGCATGCAGCAGGGGTACCCATTCATTTCTCAGCCACTAGTCTAACTGGAAGTAAGTGAACAGACTGACGGGGAGACAAAAAACACACACACACACACAATCCTCACAGTATGCTTTTCTGCATTTTATCAGTGGTGCGTAATAAGCACGACATGCTACGGTACAACATTATAGCAGTGTAACCGGAATGGCATTATAGCATTCTGGATATGATATCCATTTAAACAGTGATCATATCAACATTACGCATCAGTGTCTTATTTTTGATACACAACTTTTCATAACGTCAAAGCTTTATTCCGAGACCACAGACGCAGATAAGCCTCAGTTGTTGAGTATGCTCGGCCACATGAGTTTCGCTTACAGTCATTCAAAGTGCATGTCTTATGTTCTGTGCTGCCCATCTCGAATGAAAATGAAATCAGTTGAAGAATTTTCAGCTGCTTACGCTGCGCAAAAATACGTGCAAAATATTGCGCCTAAAAAACACTCACCATGCCGACTGGATCGCTGTCCGCATTCGCATAAATAACCCCGTACTAAGTGTGCATCCGGCCAAAATTTTAATACCGCCGGGCCGCATTAGCGCAGTAAGTTGTGTATCAATCAAGTTTATATTATTAAATTAGGCAACTTTATATTATCAAATTAGGTAAAGTTGCCTTCTGCCTTTCTAATCAGAAACACATTTCGATGAGCAGAATTTTTCGAAAAGAGCTGCTTCAAGAAAAATTTTGGCAAAATGACTTTTGCATTCCATGAATATTTGCTACGCAAAGTAAAAACCAGTTTAGTACAGCCAGAAAGAAGTAAAATCCTGAAAAATGTCGAGATCTGAAGCAGACGACATCAGGGGAAATACTGAGTCTTACATTCAAGGAAATTGTCTAAGACTGTCATGTCGTGGTGCGCTTATGAGCTGATATTTTAGACTGAAGTGACGATGAAAGCGGTTCCGAAGGGCCGGATGACCAGCCAACTTCTCGTACAGTGGTTCTCGGTAGGTGTACACTGTCCGGCACGCAATGTGAACTCACTGTGGACCAGGCCTTACAGTATCCCACGCAAACAGTGGCATTACAAAATGATCCGCGTTCAACTCGAGGCGAACTAAATTTGGCGTTTTAAACCTACTCTCAAGCGACCTTCAGAAACTGAAAGCTCACAAATAAATACTAAAATTTTGTGCCTGAAAATTACAAACGCCCCGTAACATGATCAATACACACACATACATAAACAAATGCTCATACGTGCATACACACAAGCATTCACACATGCATATACATAAATTCTGAAACTTTATGCTTGTGCATGACATGTATATATATATATATATGTATACAGGCTGAAACGTCTTCAACATATATACATACTGAAGACGTTTCAGCTTCCTTTTGGCGAAATTTTGTGACTCTTTGCAAACCTTACGCCAGTGGGCTAAATTATATACCCGCCTCGTGACCAGGTCGCCCGTCTCCCTAACTTGGTTTTGCTGCCTTCAGCCAAGTTTCTTGCCTTTGGCGAGCAAGGAGTTTCATTAGCTAAATGCTTCATATGTCCCAAGAGATTTCACGTCGCTGTTTGTATTTTGTGTTTTCTCTTCAGCTACATTTCGTGCTCGCCTTCGCTGAATTGTTTTTTATGCGTTTTTGCATATATGTAAATTGCAAAAACGCATATTGGGAAGAGGCTGTCTGT